GAACTATGTCGAGGCAGTAGAGGTGCCTAGTCCCTCAGTTGATAGCACCCCATCTGATATTTGCCCCAACCTGTTGTTCTCAGGTGCTGGTCTTATTAATGAGAAGGGGTCACAGTACATCGGGGTTTCAAACACACAAGGGATCGAGTTCATACTAGACAGTGGTGCCACCCACACAGTGCTCAAAGACCAAACTGCGTTCGTTCCTTACCAGGCTCCCATCCCACTCCTCGGAGCCGACTCTAGCTTCTCCATCCAATGCCATGGGTCCTCCACAGTTCCTTGTCCAGCATTTCCATCGGGCACAGTCACTGGCATCTATGCCCCCACCCTCCGCCACAACCTCCTGGCACAAAGTGAAATCCAACAAGCAGGAGTCATCACCATCTTTCCCAATGATGTCGACTACTGTGACCTCTTTGACGCCAAAACCGGCATTCATCTAGCCCGCTTCACTCTCAATTCCAACAACCTATACACGTTCGTAGTACCTCCCATTCAAACGTGCTCCCTCACAAACCTCCCGTTACCTTCCCTTGACTCCTCCACCTGTCACTGCCGCCTCCTTTCCGACAAAACCATGCTCTTTCATCACCGCCTTGGCCACATCAACTTTCGCGCGCTTTCAGACCTTGCCACAAAACAACTCCTCCACGGGCTTCCAACCTCACTTCCCTCTCCTACCTCCACCCTAGGGCCGCCTTGCCTTGACTGTGCACAGAGCAAGCTTCGTGAACAGCCCCATCCCCCCATTGAGTCCATCTCCGCTGCACCTCTCGATCGCGTGCACATGGACCTTTGGGGCCCAGCTCCTGTTCGCTCTCGCGGTGGACACTTTTACTTCCTTGTCATTATTGATGACTACTCCCGCTATGTGTCTGTCCACCTTCTCTCCTCCAAATCCGAAGCCCCAGGCGTAATCATTGAATGGGCGAAGCAGGCTCATAAACACTTCAAAACCACCATCAAGGTCCTTCACTCTGACGGCGGCGGTGAATTCCGCAACAACACTCTCAAAGCTTTCTGCTTCACTGAGGGTATCCGTCAAACCTTCACTCTCCCAGACAGTCCCCAACAAAACGGTATTGCCGAAAGCCGGAACCGTACATTGGTGCAGATTGCTCGCTGCCTCCTCACGCACGCCTCCGCCCCTCCCTCTTTCTGGGGGTACGCCATGCTTCATGCTGCCGCCCTCCACAATCTCCATCCCCATCCTCATCACACCCACACCACCCCCGCTGAGCTATGGACGGGTCAAAAGCCATCCGTCCGCCCTCTTCGTGTATGGGGGTGCACTTCTTATGTCCTCCTCAACTCCCAAGCCCGTCGTGCGGCTGGCGGCAAGCTTGCTCCCAAAACGATCACGTGCGTATACCTCGGGCACAACTTAGACTTGCCAGACTATCTCTTCCTCCATCCTTCCACCAACAAGCTCTATCGCAGCCGGGACGTTTACTTTGATGAGTCCCACCCATTCTACCCCTCCTCCAAGGCTTCCCCCTCTCCTCCGCCTCCCTCTCTTACTTGGGCTGACTTTGACAGTCTCCCTCTTCCCGACACTCCATCTCCTCCTCTTCCCGCTCCCTCCACCATTTCTGATCCCCCATCACCCGCTTCCCCCTCCAGTACCACACAGTCTCCCTCGCTCCCTCCCTCCTCCGCTACCCATCCTCCATCTCCTCTCGCATCTCCTCCTACCGAGCCCGTTCCTCTCAAAACCTACCAACGCCGTCACCCAGCTCCTCCTCCTCCTGCTCCCACCCCTGATCCCGATCCTGTCTCCACTCTCCCTCCCACCCCCACCTCCCCTTCCGCTACGCCTACTCCGGCCCCGCCTCCCTCACCCATCGCTTCTCGCACCCGCTCTCGCACACCTCCACAACCGTTCTCCCTTTCCGTTCGCGTCTCTCTCAATCCTCCTCCTGTCGGGGGTGATTATTCTCTCATGCCATCCCTCCTTGAAGACAGACATGAGGAGTTGATTGATATCGACTCAGCCATCCACGCACTATGCTCCCTCTTTCCAGACATCGCAGACTCTCCCACCCTCAATTTCTCCGACAACCCTTCCATCCCCACACCTCTCACCTATGCTGAAGTAGTCTCTGGTCCTCACGCCGCTCAGTGGATGGGGGCCATTGTCGCAGAATGTGAGGCCTTCATTCACACAGGAACTTTCACAGACGTCTCTCCTCCCTCCGGCGTTAACATTGTGAAGGGAAAATGGGTCTTTCGGGTGAAACAACTTCCAGGCGAATTTCCTGTCTTCAAAGCCCGGTACTGTGCCAAGGGACTTACCCAAAAGCGTGGACTGGACTTCTTTGAGACATTCTCTCCCACCGCCAAACCTCCCACACTGCGCACTCTACTCGATGTCGCTGCTCGAGATGACATGGAGGTTGACTGCATGGATGTGTCTTCTGCATTCCTGCAAGGGGTCCTTCGAGAGGAAATCTATATGGAGCGGCCCGAAGGATTTCCAACTCCTTTTCCACCAGGCACTGTATGGAAGCTGAATCGGCCAGTGTATGGCCTCAAGCAAGCTCCTCGGGAATGGCACAACAAGCTAAAGAGCACCTTAGGGTCCCTCGACTTTCACCCATCCACCTCTGACCCCAGCCTCTTCATCCGAGCAACACCCTCCCGGTTCTTCATCCTCGTTTATGTCGATGACATGATCCTTGTCACCAAGGATCAGACTGAGCTGGCAGCAATCAAAACCGCACTTGGTGAGAAGCTGGCCATGAAGGACCTTGGGAAGCTGACGAACTATTTGGGAATGGAAATCACACGTGATCGCACAGCCCGCACCATCATCCTTTCGCAGAAGTTTTACATCAACAACGTTCTAACGAGGTTCCAGATGCAGGAAGCAGCATCAATGCCCACCCCACTCTCTCTGCAACACCAACTCACTGCACCCTCCGTTCCCTCACCTGAGCCCTGTGACGAGCCTTACCCCGAGCTTGTGGGATCCCTCATGTACGCGATGATGTGCACTCGAGCAGACTTAGCCTATCTAGTCAGTGTACTGTCCCGCTACGTTGCACCTGGTCGCTTCACTCGCCACCACTGGTCTGCCGCCAAGCGGGTTCTTCGCTATCTCAAAGGCACACAGGATTATGTGCTCACACTTGGCGGCACTTCCCCGGTTCGCCTAGAGGGGTACAGTGACTCATCCTATGCTGATGACCAGAGTGATCGGCGCTCGTCCCAAGGGTATTGCTTTACCCTTGGCAGTGGGGTTGTAAGTTGGCGCCCCACTCGGTTGTCCTCCGTCTCACTGTCGACCTGTGAGGCAGAGCTGTATGCCGGGACCATGGCTGCACAGGAGGGTCGTTGGCTCTCCTTCCTGCTGACAGAACTGGGGTATCCCCAACCAACCCCAACGCTTTGGTGTGACAACGAGAGCACCATTCATCTCACCAAAGACCCCGTTTTCCATGGCCGCACCAAGCACATTGAAGTCCGTCACTACTTTCTTCGGGAGCTGGTGCAGCGCGAGCAGCTGAAGGCTGAACACATTGCCTCCGACTGCAGCCTTGCTGACTTGTTTACCAAGTCGCTTGTTCGCGAGGATCGTTACCGCCTCCTCTCGGCCATGGGTGTTGGGCCTCCTTGTGGCTGATGTGTTGCAGCCTAGGGGGTGTGTTAGAATTAGGCTGTCAACACTTTGTGTACTATATTCTATATCGCGTAGGTTATTTGTGGGTTGGGTGTAGTTTGTGATCCCAACCCTATCTGGTTGGGATTCCCTCGTAATCCTGCAAATCTGCCAACTCACCAATTGGAGATTTGCTAGGATTCCCATCCCATCCTTTCCCTAGCCTTGCCCATCCCAACCTCGTTTGTACTTAAGGCCTAGTGCCTTCTTTCTTAATAAATCAGTTCAGTTTCAATTCTGTCAACGCGAGCCTCCGGAATCTTTGTGGAGTATCTTGCTGTGCTTGCACAGGGTTGCTAGTAACCTCGCAGGCACGCGCGTCATTTTGTTTGAATCTTGCGGAATCTGCGGCTTCACTATCGTTCGACAAAGCACCACGAGCACTGTAAAACCATCCTACGGCTGCACTGTAAATTTGCGGTTTAGATCCTCAGATTCTATTTCCGTTTATCGAAATTGTCTTGCGCGGAGACTCAGGCATTTCCCGTCCTAATACGCTGCTCATGACGAAGAGGCAGCGATGCTGCAAGTCTAGCCATAGCCGCACTCATGATCAGCTGGAATCAACGCGAACAATATCAACTCGGAATCTGAATCGTGGCAATCAGGAAGAAGGCAACGTAATCATTTGTGCCAGGGCTAATGGAATAGATTGTTGGTGGCTTGGCGTAGAAATGGATGCAACTCAGTGGTGCTATGCTCATACAGCTAGTTCCCTAATGTGAGCTGTACGACATTCCTGAAATCAGGTCGCAACTATTACGAAGCACTGGTACTACATGTGCTTTAAGGTGAAAATTTCGTTCATCACTGGAGTTACAAACAAAGTGATCAGGGTGTGTCACATAGGACGATCGATTGTCATTGGTATTATTTTTAGCGGGGTTAGCATAGACTATGAGAGTTTTGGATGCGATAAATGTTATTTCAGTGCAGTAGCAGATCGACCTATGAAGCACACCCCAACTGAACTCCTGAATGATAAGCACTACTTGTGAAACACACCTACGAACATATTTGACTTGAATAACAAGAGCAGAGAGGCAGCGAGGATTTGGGGTTGTATATGGTAACCGAGCTGATAAAGTGGTTCGCGAATTCGTCATGAATCCCCCCAACAGCAGAGCCCTCAACTGGATGGAGGCACACACATGCAGCAAGCAGGCACGCCTAGGGGTTTTCGAACAGAGAACACAGCGAGCAGCACACCCGACAAGGATTGACCATGACACATCTCGATAAATCTAGGTGTTGAGATGGTTGAAAGTTGTATATAGAGGATTCCTGGATGGTGCAATGGTGTGAAAGGCAGTAAGGTCAACCTCCAAGTTGGTTGATGAAGCAACTGAGGGTGCTGAAGCTGAACCGTGTTGAGGTGGAATGGGGGCCTGCAGGGAGAAGCAGGTTGACGTTCGTGCAGCAGATGATGGAGCAGGTGGAGCAGGTGGAGCAGGTGGAACAACATTTTGAAGGAGGAAGGTTGGAGCTGCCAAGCACTTTGTCTTCTCTCCCTCGTCTGCGCAGCTTGTTGAGTGAACAGCTGGAGCTGCTGCAGCCGCTGGAACAAATCGAGCAGGTGAAGCAGCTGCAGCAGCTGGAGCAGCTGGAGATGCGCTTGGGAGGTGACAGTCAGAAGTTTCCAGTTCCCCTGATCTTTCTCCCTCGCCTGCACAGCTTGCTGATAGAGGCACCGGGAATCCGCACCCTCCCTGGAAACATGGCAGAAGCGTTGTCTCAGTTATAGCAGCTGGAGCTTCTTTCGTGATCAGCGGAGGAGCTGCCAGAAAGCATACTGAAAATGAGCTCGCTGACGTCACTCAAGCTTCACGCACCTCAGCTGACGATGCTACCACAAGGCATGAGCCGCTTGTCTCGGCTGCGCAAACTGGAGCTGATTCGCTGCACCGCCTTGCAGCACCTTCCGGAGTTTCTCACCCAGCTGCACCAGCTGATACTGCGTGACACCAGCATCACCTCCATTCCTGCGAATCTGGTGCAACTCACGGAGGAGCATTGACTCAGCTGGCTGCCTTGGACTCGCTAGGTGCTGACTAAGGTGAGGTGGGTTGACTTGGCTCGGTTAAAGGCGCTGGAGTACCTTGGAGGCTGTTTTTTGGGCCTTGGTGATTCTCCCTGGGCTGATCATTGCTTAGCAGATGTGCAGTGCACTCTGGTTGTGCTTGCAATGTCTCTGTGATGGCAGATGCTGGATGGCAAAGGGGTCTTTGAAGCTGGTGCCACGGCAGTGAAGCTGATACCATGCCACTGAAGCGGGTGCCAGGGGAGATGAATGATTAGATGGGGCTGTTCTGGGGCTTGTAGTATGATCTCTTCGTACATGCCTTGCACCCATGTGGTCTGTTTCTTGGTTGTATGATCTCTGCCCTTGTTTCTTGTTTCTTGCCCTTTCTTGACTTTCTTGTTTTTGTCTCTGTAGTGTGTTCTATAACCTTGCACCAACGTGTTTTGTTTCTTGGCAGTTTGATTTCTGATTCCTCGTTCCTTGCCCCAACTAATTTTTGTTTCGTGTATTCACTTGGCCTGCGTCATGCATAGGCAAGCCATTGAACTTTAGAAATCAGAAGAGCAAAAATGTTCCGCAGATGTGGTAGCCTGTGATCGCTGAATGGTCAGCTAGGAGACTTTTGGGGAATGTTTTAGTGACATGCATTATCCTGCATTTTAGGTACCTAGTATAAAAACCCAGAGCTACAATCTGATTGATTGACCTGAGAAGCATTCAAAAACTCTCATGCTGAAGATTCTGTGTGCACCAGCAGACAAAATTCATTCTGATGTATGGTTTTTGAGATATTGAATCTGAGACGCCTTCTGAGATGCATTATGAAATATGCATTCTGAAATACCCCCGCTTTTCTCCGAACCCCCACTCCAGTCATATCCCCACCAACATTCTCCTACCCCCCACCCCACTTTTCTCAGAACCCAACTCTCCCACTCTTGTCACACCCCCCATCCCTCCAATACTCCCCACGCCTCTCATACCCTCCAGTCCTCTCATGAAGCCCATTCTCTCAAAATCTCCCCCTCTTCTCATAGCCCTCACTGCTCTCATACCCCGACTCCTCACTTACCCCTTCCTTCTGCCCCCCCCCCCCCATCCCCCGCTCTGCACCCCCTCCCCTCCCACCGTTTCCGCTAATCCTGTCCTCAATTCCCGCTTCTCTGCTCCCACCTCCCCACAGGTCCAGAGAATTGAGGCCGCCAGCACACATGGGGATATAGGTGACAAGTCGTAGCTTGGCATGGCTGCTTACAAGTGCCACTTCAGCACGCCGACTGCTCTTGTGACTATGAATGGACTTGCATATGAAGGTGAGAGTCAGCGAGGGGTGGGCATGTGTGTGTGGAGAGTGGGTGAGGGACGGGTATGCGTGTGAGAGTCGGTGAGAGATGAGTATGTGTGCAGGGAGTGGTGAGGAGATTCTGTAGGTTAGGGCGTGTGTGAGAGTCACTCGAGGGAGCAGTGAAGTGGGGGGTGAAGGACCGGGTGGAGGGCGGGAAAGAGGGCGTTTGGAGCAGTGAAGGGGGGGGCTGGGGCTGGCGGAGGTCATAAAGGATGAGTGGTGTTACCCATGATGGGTAGACGGGCATGGTGGCAGGAAAAGGGGGAGGGGAGCGGGGGAAATCCGTGTAAGTCAATTGTTGGCGACAGTGGTAAGCGGGCAGTTAACTAGCAGGATGTTGCACGGGAATTGATTAGTCGCTGTGAGGACGGTTGTGAGAGTCACTGGAGGGAGCTGAGCTGGTGGCAGGGCAGCGGATTTGAGAATGTGGGTGGTTGTAACTACGTCTCATCCTGCCCCCATTCATCCCACCCCATCCTATCCATCCAGCTTTACATTCGTGTATGTATCCTGCCCTGACTAGCGACCCTCTGACTCCTGCCCCTACAGTTCAAACACATAGATCACCCAGTTACTACCCATTCTCCTCCCCTTTCCCCTTCACCTTAACCTCTTTCCCTTTCCTCCCCAGCTCCAATGCTTCTCTAACACGGACTCACGCCCCTACGGCACTGTCTCCCACATCCCTCCTCCCTGCATCCTTCTCACCATCACACTTCTCCCCTCCTCCCCACCCCCTCCCCCAGCTTCGCATTTGTGTTTCCTGCACCCAGCTTCCAGCCACAGGTTTGCGCCCCTTTACAGCACTGTCTCCCTCCCACATCTCTCTCATAATCCATTGCTACTTTTCCTTCTTTCCCTCCCCCTTCCCTCTCGCCTTCCCTCACCACCACCGCTCTTGCTTCTCCTACACCCACATCTTCCCCAGTGCAACACGAGCGCACGGCTCACAGCATCCTGCGGGCTGCTGAGGCTGCCCCTAGATTGGCGCGTTGATTGGTGCACTGTTCAAGGGGAACCGGTGGGCTATCGAGGGCACTCCTTGCCATGGTTGCCTACATTGGCGTGACAGGCAGGCAACATGGGCACTGTGCGCTCCTCGCCCAGGCTGCAACGCACCTTCCCTTCACCACCCATTGCCCTCTTCCCTTGTCTTTCCCCTCCACCCCTCCCCACTTACCACCACACCTGCTTCTCTCACACTTGCATGGTCAAGCGCGTAAAATGCACCGCACCACAGCATACATAAACACCATCTAGCATACATGAGTGGCGGTGCATCAAACGACTGTGCTCTGACCCCTTACATCTGGTTAGTACTCGTAGGAAAAAAGGAACAGAAACAGTTCCACGTATGACAGCCATAGCATCTTCTCTGCACTGTCCAAACCATCCTTCCAATCCCCAATGCCCTCTTTGCAATCTTGACAGCCCTCCTTCTCTTCTTCACCTCCACCAGAATCCTTCTTAACTTCATGGGTCTCATGGGTCTCATGGGCTGGAGAGCCTGAATACGCTACAGTTATGGAAACAGTTAAAACCACTCCAACACCCCCATTCCTCTCATCTCCCACCCTCCCCTCTTCTTCCCCACTCCTCTTTTATCCCTCACGACTCTCATAACCCCCACTCCTCTCTTCTCCTCTCTTAACCACCACTTCCCTCATGCCCCCAACCCCTCTCATACCCTTCCCCCCCTCTCCCAATTCACTCTCCTCATACCCATCACTTCTCTAATGCCTCCCAGTCTTCTCATACTCCCCACTCCTCTCATACCCTCATAACCCCCAATCCTCTCATATCCCCCATTCTATAAATGCCCACCACTCCCCTCACAACCCCCATTCCCCTCACACGCCCTAATCCCCTCATACCCGCCAGCCACTCCTGTCATACCACCCACTCCGCTCGTATCCCCACTCCACTCGTACCCCCCCATTCCTGTCATTTCCACCAACATTCATGGTCCCACTCTTGTCACTCCTGGTTTTGCCGTTCACCATCAGCTTCAAGCCTCTCCTCCACAATGCCTTTAACTCCCATTGTTTCATCTGCTCCTTCCCTGTGCTTCTGCATTTTCCATCCCACCCATGCCTTCTCATCCCACCCATGCCTTCTCATCCCACCCATGCCTTCTCATCCCACCAATGCCTTTTCACCCCACCCATGCGGTCTCATCCCAACCATGCCTTTTCGTACCACCCATGCCTTTTCATTCCACCCGTTTCTTTTTCATCCCACCCATTTCTTTTTCATCCCACCCATTTCTTTTTCATCCCACCCATTCTATTTTCATCCCACCTATGCTTTTTTCATCCCACCCATGCCCTTTCAACCCACCCATGCCCTTTCAACCCACCCATGCCCTTTCATCCCACCCATGCCCTGTCATCCCACCCATGCCCTGTCATCCCACCCATGCCCTTTTCAATCCACCTAGGCAGGCCTCTGCGTTGTCAGGCCAACTCTTGTGCTGCTCCCTGTACTGTGGATAAGTTCGAGGTGAGGAATGTGTATAATGGCTGCAACGTGCTTGTGCAATGCTCGTATAGGTTATTGCAATTCTGCAGTGAAGTGATATACATTTGTGTTGTGAAGTGTGTTTGGTGAAGTGATTTCTTTCTTTGGCAAGTGTCCTGGTCTTACTCCCACCTGGACAGTGCACACAAAGCTGGCCTCTGCCGAACAAACTGTAGGATTTTTTTTTTGTGTCAGATGGAACCGTGCTATAAAATGTGCTGTGATATGTAGAGCATAGTCGGGCTACAGAATACCTTGTTCTGGAACAGTGCTACGCAAGGTCTCGTGTAGCGCAGCAGAGATGGACTACGACTGGATGCAAGCTCTACTTATACCGTGCTGTGGTGTGATTGTGCCTTTTTACCCATATCCATTGACAGTGGAGGCTAATGAACATGCATGCAAGTACCGTTTTGAATTATTTATATATGCTAGGCGCAAAAGTTGGTGCTGTGCCGGTGGGACATGTGGGCCAAACATAGCTACTTGGGACAGGAGGTGGAACCAAGACACACATTGAGGGCGAGTTCCTACGGCCCCTTATCATGCGGCCTCTTGTCAGACCTGTGAGGTTCGATTCGTTTCAGTGCGATCGAATGTTATTACGCGTGTTTCAGTGTGGTGCGACGCGAATCTGACAAGAGGTTCGCCTGATAAGAGGCGGTAGGAACACGCCCTGAGTTCGTAGTGGAACTGACAACCAGCAGGTGCTACTTGAAAGGATATGTGTCATGAGAAATGGTGACATGCGGTAGCATCCATGGGCAAGAACGAAGGGAACGTGCCGGCTGCCACTCTTGTGAGACACCCTTGCGCAGCAGTAGACTGCTGCTCAGCTCAGCAGGATCCACTCAACTCGAGCACGGATCGGCGTCTGCCATGTGGCGAGGTCTCGTCGAGTGACGGCAGCTCCTTGCTGTTGCGAAGGGCGAGGATGATGATGAAGAGCAAGCACAGTGCCGGAGAAGCTACCTTATGCTGTGGCCGAGAAAGAGGCGGTGTAATGTGTGAAGTGAACTTGGCTTGCCCCAACAGGAGGGGTCATGGAAGGAAGGGCAGGCAGGCAGTGCAGGAAAGAGCAGGAAAGAAGGCAGGGAAGGCAAGGAAGATGAAAGCCGAGTAGAGGCAGAGCACACTGCCTGGAGAGGCGCCCAGTCCACGAGAGGCAGTCCTGTGGTGAGAGACCCTGTCACCCTGCTCCCTGCTCATAAGGCGATTATCTTGGCCTTGTGACTGCTGAATAGGTCCTGTTGGTGTTAAAGGGAGAAACTGATGGGAGTGGTGATGTGGCCCAGTGGCTGCAGAATAGTGTAGCGGCAGGTGGGGAGCTTGTGTATGCTGCTAAGTCACAAAGATGATTTCAGTAGGGCAGCTTTTGACAAGAAAGGGTTTCAAGGCATTTTGACGACAAACGATTAGCGCAGGGATGGGCGGCGCCCTATGCGCTGCCATGCACGTCTTGGTTATCAGGGCGAGGTGCACTCCGTAGCACCCCGGCATGATGCGCTGACACGTGTGGAGCTATGAACGGGAGTGAGGGGAGTGGGGCGGTGATAAAGGGGAGGGGAAGCAACGGACAGGGACATCCAAGGGAGGGCAGAGAGAGCTGCAGTGCACAGCACACCATAGCATGCCATGATGCACTGGAAGAGGTGGAAAGGTGTGGGGTTTGGGATGGTGGAATGGAGGGTAGGGAAGGAGGAAGAAACAAAGAGGAAAGCAATGACAGGGGGAAAGCGAGGTAAGGCGGGGGGAGGTGCAAGCTGCAATGCACACCATAGCGCCCCCGTATGATGTGCTGGAGATATGGGGGATGGGTAGGGGAATGGAGGGTAGGTAAGGAGGAATAAACGATGAGGGACTCAATGAGGGAGGGAAAGCAAGGATGGGGGAGGTTCATGCTGTAACGCCCTGCCATGACGGGCGGGAGAGCTGGAAAGGTGTGGGTCGGTGGGAGGGCTGGGGTCATGCAGGGGAGGGAGGGCGGAACGAGTATGGGCAAGGGTGGGAGAAGGGAGCTAGAAGCTGTAACGCCCAGCCATGCTGCGATGAAAGAGGTGGGGAGGGTTGGGCAATGGGGTTGGGAGTAGTTGGAGGGAGCGAGGAACATGAACCTGCATAAGTATGGGTCTCCTGGCTCTTTGGTTCAATTGTTGAGGCCCTTTAAAAGGGAGGAACATGAAGATCACGGATATGAGTCTCATGTCTCCTACCTAGCTCCTGCTTCGTAGCTTGTGCCTCATGCAACCACGGGAGGTGGGCACATGCAGGTGGCAGGGCAGGCAGTGACCTGCCAAAGCTATTGAACACCAACCATTGTAGTGAGGGCCGAAGCCAATGCATGGGGGGACAGCTATCAAGCGGTTGATGGCATGGGCTTTGTTGGGCGTCCAACAGGATGATCCAGTTCGCGGCAAAAGCAAGAAATCACTTGTGTGCCAGCCGGGAATCGAACCCGGGTCTGCACCGTGCTGATGGCAGGGTGCTATTCTACCACTAGACCACTGGCACTAGGCGGATGTGATCATGATTTGCGGCGATGGTTCAATCGGGTGATGTAGTGGACGAGATGGGGTTATGGAGTATTTGAATAGTGTGCTGGGATTATGGGGTATTAGTGTGATGTGATGGGATGATGCAATCATGGGACTGTCTCCTCCACATTAAATGGTTGAGACAAGAGACAATGGGGTGCAAAGGGAAGTGGTGGCGCCACAGGAGGCAAATGAGAGCACCGACCTGATTCGGTAGAGATGAGTGATCGCTGATGGGTGTGCGAGTGTAGAGGCGACAGGGAACGGATGCTACTGGGTGGACTATGCACAGCTGTAGCATCCATTCCCTGCCGGAGGGAGAGAGAGGGAGAGAGCAGGGCGGGTTGGAGCTGCTGCTGGCTGCACTATGCACACCTGCGGAAGTGGGGGGTGGTAACGGGGTTGGGGATGGGGAAGGGGACGTTGGTGGAGAAGGGGATGAGGGAGGGGATGGAGAAGCGGATGGGAGTGGAGGGACGGGGATGGGAAAGTGTAAGGGGAAGGGGATGGGGGGACAACAATGATCCGAGAGTGACCTGAGAGTGACCTGAGAGTGACCTGAGAGTGACCTGAGAGTGACCTGAGAGTGACCTGCCACCGACCCAGTAGTGACCCACTGGTGCCCCACAATTAGCCCCTCGCACCACCGACGCACCTTCTTCACCCAACCTTCTTTGCCAGCAATGAACAGTACCAGTGAACATCAGCAGTAAGGTGTGTTGAGGAGAGATTGTCCTGGCACGGAGTGCACTCAGCCAGCAGCCCACAAGGCCACAGGTTGCCCGTGAACAGTGTGCCCGTGCTGTAGTGGCGGGAATCCGTGGGGCGGGAGTGGGTGTAGAAACAGGTGCGGAGCTGGAAAGCGGGGGGAGGGGCGGGGAAAGGAGGGAGAAGGAGCAGCGTGATTCTTATATCACACATGGCTCAAGAGAGAATGAAATGAAGCTGAGCAAGGGAGGGGAGACTGAGGGAGGGAGTTGAGGGGGGGAGTGGGGGATGAGGGGATTGGAGAGGGAGAGAGCAGGGAGGGAGGGAAAGGAGCGGTGCCATGGTGGGAAGGATAGAATGAAGGTTTAGGCAGGCGGACGACAAGTGGGGGTTTACGAGGCGCACACAGCTGTGGGCAATCATTACGCTTCCGGCACTGGCGCCGCTGGCATTGGTGCAGCGGCGGGTGCGAGGCATCATTCCAGCAAGGCGAGGCAAGGGCAGGCAAGAAGAGGCAAGGCGAGGCAAGTCGAGGCAAGGTGAGGCAAGGGCAGGCAAGAAGAGGCAAGGCGAGGCAAGGCGAGGCAAGGGCGGGCAAGAAGAGGCAAGGCGAGGCAAGGGCAGGCAAGAAGAGGCAAGGCGAGGCAAGGGCAGGCAAGAAGAGGCAAGGCGAGGCAAGGGCAGGCAAGAAGAGGCAAGGCGAGGCAAGGGCAGGCAAGAAGAGGCAAGGCGAGGCAAGGGCAGGCAAGAAGAGGCAAGGCGAGGCAAGGGCAGGCAAGAAGAGGCAAGGCGAGGCAAGGGCAGGCAAGAAGAGGCAAGGCGAGGCAAGGGCAGGCAAGAAGAGGCAAGGCGAGGCAAGGGCAGGCAAGAAGAGGCAAGGCGAGGCAAGGGCAGGCAAGAAGAGGCAAGGCGAGGCAAGGGCAGGCAAGAAGAGGCAAGGCGAGGCAAGGGCAGGCAAGAAGAGGCAAGGCGAGGCAAGGGCAGGCAAGAAGAGGCAAGGCGAGGCAAGGGCAGGCAAGAAGAGGCAAGGCGAGGCAAGGGCAGGCAAGAAGAGGCAAGGCGAGGCAAGGGCAGGCAAGAAGAGGCAAGGCGAGGTAAGGGCAGGCAAGAAGAGGCAAGGCGAGGCAAGGTGAGGCAAGGTGAGGCAAGGTGAGGCAAGGTCATTGTGGTAATGCCTGCGCACGCACATCGCAGGCCCAGCCATTCCAATCGCAGGGATGAGGTGAGGGTTGGGAACGGAGGAACTGTGCATGGGTGGGTGGGAAGGGAGAGTTGCAGGGTGTTGAAAAGGGTCCTCTAAACCTCCCCTCAAAGCTCCAACGCATACTCTCTCGCCTCCGCCAGCTCCATCCGCAGCCTAGCATTCAGCCCCTCCCTGTCCTTTGAGCGGCTCTAACATACATCATCCCTCCCCCCCCCTCCTCTCCTCTCCCCTCTCCCCCAGCCCTCTCTCCCACAGTGACTGCTCACAACATCTCACACATCGCTACTCACATGCAGCATCAACTTCACCTCCCCTCTCCCCACTTCCTTCTCCCGCCTTTCCTTCAACCCCCTTTGCCTCAACCCCACTTCCTTCAACCCCACTTCCTTCAACCACCCGTCACTTCATTAAAGACCCCTTCTCCCCCGCTTCCTCTCAAGTAAATCTCACGTCCAACTTAAATCTCCATCTCTCAGAGCGTCTCACCTTAGCAACTTGGAGCTTGTCGACTATCCGCCAGCCCCACCATCAGGAGCGCCCTTTCACCGCCCCTTCACCACCTTCCCGCCCTCCTCGCGTGCTCCCCGCCCCTGCCACTGCTGCTGCCAACGCCGTTTGGGCCGCCAACGCCTCTCGCCCACCTCTGCCACGTCAGCAGCCTCTGCCTGCCTGGTTTAAAAGGGGCGAGAAATTCGGGCCAGGAACCAGTGCTGGAGTAGAAGGTGCGGTACGGAGCTGGTGGGGAGACAGGGGAAGGGTTGGAGGAGGTGGGTAGGGGAGAGGAAAGGACAGTGCGCGGGTGAGAGCTGTGCGGCCACACCATAAGGAAAAGGAGCAACAAGTGCAGCGCTGGTGGGGTGGCTGGAGAAGGAGGGGGAAGGGAGAGGGTATGGGGAGAAAGGGTACAGCGGGTGGGTGAGAGCAGTGCGGCGCCGCGCCAACGTAGCGGCAGGAATCCGTGGGGCGACAATGGCGTGGGAGAAGCAGGTGCGGAGCTGGGAGGGGTGGGGGAAAGGGGGTGTGGGAGGGAGAGGGTATGGGGAAGGGAGGGGATGGTGCCTGGGAGAGCAGCGCGACTGCGCTGTGGAGGCTGAGCCTTTGCAGTGGGGCTGATGTGAGTGGCGGGTGGGGAGCTAGGCACGGAAAGAAGAGAAGGGAGAAAGAGGTTAAGCAGAAGAAAACAGGGAATGAGAAGGGGTTGTAAGTTAGAGGTAGCAGCAGAAATGAGGGAGACACAAGGCGCTGATTTAGGAACCACACATGCGAGGCTGGATGGATGGGATAGGCGGGGATGCGAATAGGGGCTGGTCGGGAAGCGGGAACCAAATTCTGCAAGGGAAGAGGTATGTAGGTGGAGAAGGGATGGGCCCATCAGCTCCCTCCACTCACTCTCACAAACATCTTGCAGCCACTTGCACTGACAATCAAAGAGCCCAGCCTGGCGACGTTCAGCTATTCAACTGCCTCCGGGCCCCTGCCACCCATCAGCAGTCCCTCCTCTCACCAACCCTTCGCCCTCCTTCCCCCTCTCCCCGCCACCGCCCCTAGCGCCGCCAACGCCGCTTGCGCTACTTAACGGTTACCCGTCTCGTCTTGCCACCTGCTGCGGCACTTTGAGCGAGAGCATAAACAGCCCACTACCACGCACGCACCTCCTTCACCCAGCAGTGACCCAGCAGCACTGACCCATTACAGCCCTCCTCCTTCTCCCGCTGCTCGTCCCTCAGGAAGAGCACGTCCTCCTTCCTGAGGTGAGGGACGAGCAGCGGGGCTGCTGGGCGGGGCTGCTGGCTGCTGGGCGCACCCAGCAGCCCCGCCCAGCTTCGCCTGCAGCCTCTCCTGCACGTCCGCCACGTCAGCAGTCCGCAGGTTGCCCATGACAAGTGCACCCATTTTGCAGAGGCGCGAGTCCGTGGGGCAGAAGGGGGTGTGGAAGAAACAGGTGCGGAGCTGGTGGAGGGGAAGGGAGCGGAAAGGAGAGGAGCAGTGCGATGAGGAGGAAGGAAGCAAGAAATGGCAGAAGAAGGCAGGAACGGAATAAAAGGTGCGGAGCTGAGGGGGGGTGAGAGGGGGTCGGGTCGGGGGAGAAGGAAGAGGGAGGGAGCAGGGAAGGATGGAAGGGATAGCGTGATGATAGCATGGGGGTTCGGGCAGGCGGGCCACAAGTGGGGATGAAGAAGAAGGGGAGGGGGGGGGGGAGAGTGCGACCAAAGGAAACGGGAAGCAGGAAAGCGAAGGGCAATGGCTCGGGCAGGCTGGCGACGAGTGGGGGTGTAAGAGACGCAGGCACACAGCTGGGCGGCAGACATTACGATTTCGACAGCGGCGCCGCCGGCGGTGGTGCAGCAGTGGGTGCGAGCAATGAATTCAGCGAGGTGAGGCGTCCGGCTTGACACGTTTGATGATGACCAAGCCATTCCAACATCCCCTTTGCCCGGCCTGCGCACGCAGTTTGCAGGCCCAGCCATTCCAATCGGCCCACGTGAATCCGCCGGGGATGAGCCACAAGATGGTCACGCCGTCACGGCAGAGCCTGGCATCGTGGAAGGGGAGGGAAGGGGTAAGGGGAAGGAGATGGGTTAGGAGAGGGTAGCGGAGGGAAGATGGGAGTGGGGTAAGGGTAAAGGGAACGGGGTAAGGGGAGGAGGAGGAGATAAGGGGACGGGGAGGGGTAACGGGAGAGGGAGTGTGTAACGGAGTGAGAGGGGATAAGTGAAAGAGGAGAGTGTAACAGTAAAGAGAGGGGGTAAGGGGCGGGTTCGAGAAGGTCGTGAGGTGGTGCCTTGGCGAGCAGTGTGGCTGTGACGAGTGGGTGCGAGAGGGCAGGGAACAACAGCAAGCAGGAGCGGAGCGGAGCTGGATGAGTCAGGGATGAGTGATGGGAGGGGTGAGAAGAGGGAGTTGGGCATGGGTGGGTGGGTGGGTGGGAGGGGAGTTGCAGGGTGTTGAGGAGGGTCCTCTACAAGACGACAACTCCCCTCGGAGCTCCAAGGCGTCCTTTACAGCCTCCGCCAGCCCCATCAGCAGCCCTCCCTTCAACGGCCCCTCACAGTTCTTCGAGTGACTCTCACACTAATTCCCGTCCCATGGCGATACCTCATCGCCTCTCACACACGGCCTCTCTCACACAGCCTCTTGCACACATCAGCTTCATCCCCCCTTCTACCCACTTTCAATCCCACTTTCTAACACCCCTACCTTCACTGCCCCTGTTCCTCCCCCTTGGCCAGTCTCCTGAGTGAGTCTCACATGTATCTTCACCCCTCAGAGCGTCTTACCTTGGCGAATTCGAGCTTGTCAATTCCCCGCCAGCCCATCAGCAGCCCCCCCTTCATCCCCCACCCCGCCCTCCACCCCCCTCTCTACGCCGCCGACCCTACCGCTCCCAACGCCACTTGCGCTGTTTGGAGGCGTCCCCCCCGCCGCCCGTCTCGTCGCCTGCCGCAGCGCCTGCTGCCTCCGCCGCTCCTACTCCCTCCCCTTCTCCCTCCCCTTGTTCATCCTTATTCATATATTAGTCATATCCTTATTTTTATCTCCATCCCTCTCCTGTTGTGCTTGACCAGGGTTGCAATCTTGCCAACGTGACTGATCAAACTTCGCGTAACCTGTAGCTTCAACTGTCGGCTGCAGAGCCGCCACCAGTAACAGAAGACCCATCCTCAGCCGTCGCTCGCACGATCCCCCTACTAAAAGCCGCAGTTCCGTGTTTCCAGTGGCACTCCTGAAACTGAAGCCGGGCTATCCTCAGATTCGATATTGGGCTCGAAGGCACGTGTCGGTGAGGAATCTCCGTTTCCGTTTGCAGATGGATCCCTATGCCCTATACTGTGGTGTGCCTCAGACGCAGCGATGCTGCCAGTCTAGCCACTGCCACACAAGTAGCCAGGAGTTTACTGATACGCGAACATGAGCAATAGGAAATGCGAATAAACTTGGTATCTCGTGACCAGGAAAAACAAATTTTAGTAACTCGTGACGGGGGATAATAAATGTCTCTGAAGGCGGCTTGGGAGGAGAGGTGGGTCACACCATCTTCTTGATCGTGGGGCCCAGAATCATCCGAAAAAATCAAGGGGGGGGGAAAGTGTAATGAATGTGAATTCATGAAGGTAGAGGCTACTCCTAGCGAGGACAGCCCGAACTGTTCGCGTCAGTTTGGGTTCGGCCTACACTTCGGCCCGAACCACTTCCGAGTCGCCCCGCACCAGTCGCGACACTCCCAACCAAACCACGTCCCGAGGTCCTCGCCTACCACGGTTTCGACCCTATAAATGCTTGCTTCTTTATCATTCTCGTCATTCTGTAGTTCTCATCCTTTTTATAAAGTCTTCCGCGCACTCTTCTTAGTACAACTCATAACAGAAAGAATGTTCGGAGTAACATCTCAAGGTACCTTGGGGGAACAGTTTCGAATGTATGTTTGAGGTTACGCCTCATTCTACCCTTCGAGCAGACCGCGCATGATTCACTCCCCAAAGTTTTCGGAACCAATCGTCAGGTACCGCATGTTCGGTTCGGGGAATTCCACGATTGGACTGTCAGGACATTATAGCTAATGCTGTTGTGTAGGCTATAGTGGGGTCTTCCATAGGGGGTACAACCCAATTAGGGTTAGTACTTGTACTCACTTCATTCATAGTTCATTCCATTCTCGTTCTCGTTCTCACATGGAATCAGAGCACGTCCCCTCATAGCTACTGTTCCTAGGGCCCACCGAAGCGCGCCTCGAGTCGCGCTCTCCTTTTTTTTTTAGCGACCCGTCGTGTCGCCCCTAGCGGCCCGTCGCGCCGCCCTTACGGTCGCGCTGAGCCGCCTTAGCGGTAGTGGCGCGCCGCCCTTGCAGCGGCCTGTCGCGCCGCCCTACCTCGCGGCCCCGCCGCCCTTCGCGCGGCCTCGCGCCCTACTCCTGCGGCCCCGCTGCCCTACGTCGCGGCCCCGCCGCCCTGCGCCGACGGCCCAGCCGCCCTACTCACGCGGCCCCGCCGCCCTACTTCTGCGGCCCCGCCGCCCTACATCGCGGCCCCGCCGCCCTACACCGACGGCCCCGCCGCCCTACTCACGCGGCCCCGCCGCCCTACTCCTGCGGCCCCACCGCCCTACGTCGCGGCCCCGCCGCCCTACCTTTCGACGGCCCCGCCGCCCTACGTCGCGGCCCCGACGCCCTACGCCGACGTCCCCGCCGCCCTACCTTTCGACGGCCTCACCGCCCTACGTCGCGGCCCCGCCGCCCTTCTCGACGGCCCCGCCGTCCTACGTCACGGCCCCGCCGCCCTACTCCCGCGGCCCCGCCGACCTACTTTGCGGCCCGCCAGCCGCCCTACCTGCTGCCCTCCCTGCAGCTCTACCTGCGGCCCACCCGCCGCCCTACCTGCGGCCCTATTACCGCCCTACCTGCGGCACGCCTACCGCCCTAACTGCGGCCCACCCGCCGCCCTACCCACGACCGCCGCGCCGCCCTGAACCAGCGCCACCGAGCCGCCCGACCGCCGGGTCGCCCAGCAGCCGAGCTGCAGAGCTGCCCAGCAGCCGAGCCACTGAGCCGCCGAGCCGCCCAGCAGCCGAGCCGCCGAGCCGCCGAGCCGCCCAACAGCCGAGCAGCCGAGCCGCCGAGCCGCCCAGCAGCCGAGCCACCGGCCGCTGAGCTGCCCTACTTCCAGACCGCCCGATCTGCCCAGTCTGGTGAGCACAGAGCCTTTTTCACTGCACTGCCCTCACCCTACTGTTTGCACTGCTAGGCGTCTGTCGTCATGGCTACCCCTGGTGTCCTCGCTTTTGACGCTGAGGGTCGGGCCATTGACTTTGAGGTCTGGGTAGATGACTTGCAGCTGTTCTTACAGTGCAATAGGGCAGACGGCCTCTCTCTCTTTGACCTTACCTCTAGCGCTTCCCCTGCCCCTGCTGCTGATGCTGACACCACTGTTCGCTCCCAGTGGGCCACACGCGACGCTGCTGCACGTCTTCTTGTGCGTCGCCACCTCCCTACCTCCGAGCGTGCGCACTTTAGTCAGTACAAGAGTGCTCAGACCTTGTACGACGCTGTAGTCGCGCGCTACTCCTCCCCTGCCACTGCTGCACTGAGCCGTCTCATGCTACCGTACCTCTTCCCTGACCTTGCTGCCTTTCCCACCGTAGCTGACCCCATTACGCACCTCCGCACTAGTGACACTCGCTACCGCGCTGCACTTCCTGCTGACTTCTGCGCCAAGAACCCTCCCCCCCCCCATGTACATCACTCTGTACTTCCTAGTCACTCGCCTTCCTGACTCCCTTCGCATAGTCAGGGACCACATTCTCTCAGTCTGTCCCACCACACTCACTGTCGACCTCCTCGAGAAGGCCCTCTTAGCAGCGGAGAAGAGTATAGTCGCTGTAGGAGCCTCTCGAGGTGACCCGCGCACCCCCATCTTTGAGGGGTGTTCCCCCTCCCCCCTGGTGCCATCTGTTGCCTCTGCTGCTGCGGCCGACCTCCTTGGTCTTGAGTCGGTCGGTGCGGCGTTTGCCCCTAGCGGGAGACGCCGCCCTTGCAAGGGCAAGGGGGGCAGGGGAGCTGGAGGAGCGGGCTGTGGAGGTGGAGGTGGAGGCGGTGGGGGGAGTGGGGGTGGCGGTGGGAGTGGAGGTGGGGATGGGGGGGTCGGTGGCGGCAGTGGAGGCGGAGGCAGCGGCGGCGGTGGCGGTGGGAGCGGAGGTGGCGGAGGAGGCGGCGGCGGAGGCGGCGGCAGTAGTGGAGGCAGCGGTGGCGGTGGAGGCGGTGGGGGTGGCGGTGGAGCTGGTCGTGGGTCTTCGCAGAGGAGTGGCTCCGGTGGTGGCTCGCGCCAGCAGCAGCAGCGCGGTCGTGAGTCCCTATCCCCTCAGCAGCTCCGGGAGTGGTACACTGCATGCCAGCGGGGTGGGGGTTTTGGTCCGTGCACCTACGTCCTGCACACCGGCGACCGTGCGGGTGAGTAGTGTGGGGGTGCGCACCCCTCCCAGCGCTGCTTTGGCCGCCTGACGGACGCGTGGCGTCACCAGTTCCCTGAGGCCTCAGAGATCCCTCGCTAGGGCGAGCTGTCTAGGGCGGGTGTTGCCATCTTTGATCTTGACTTTGATGCTATTCTCTCTGCCATGTATGCTGTGTCTATTAGTGATGAGGGTGACTGTTACCGGTGTTTCCCGCCCGATCCGAGCATTGAGTCTGCTGCTCCTGGTACTGGTGAGGCTGCTGCCCTAGGTGCTTGCGACGCTGCTGCTCTAAGTGCTAGTGTGTCTGCGTCCTCAGGTACCGGTGAGTCTGCGCTCTCAGGTACTACGTCGGCTTCGGCCTCCCACACCTTCACCCTTGACTCTGGGGCGTCTCGCTCCTTCTTTCGGGATCGCACCACACTCACGCCGCTTAGTCGGCCGGTCGCTTCTCCACTGTCCTCCCGTGTCCGGCGGCTCCCTCTGGCACCCTGTCTGGTCTCTACCTCCCCTCGTTCTCGACGAACTT